GTCCGTTGTAGCTAGAGCCTCTATTTATCTCCTGATGCAAGTCTTGCAATCTTGAATTGAATTGGTGATTTGTCGACGTATTTCGAGACTACGTAGCTCGCCTCGACACAAGGGAAGATCTTCACAAGTCAGTTCACAGCAGCAAGAGAGCCGCATTCACTCAACAAGAACTAATCAATGATCTGGCAAGCGTGAAGGGGAGTGAAAGCTCATTGTAACCCCGTTTTCTCTAGTTCGCGGGTAGCCTCTCTCTTCCGGAGCAACTTCTCTCTCCTGCTTCGATAAAATGGTACGCCCCTCACTAACTTTACTACACCATCGATTACACACTACCATTAACTATCAACTCAACACGACCTATCAGCGCTCGAGATCGAGTCTCAAGATCAACAACCTTATGCAATCCAATCCCACGAACATCGTTCCACCCACCATGTCTGAGGACAGCCCCCGAGCCAGTAAGATGGACCAAGTCTTCAAGGGCATCCATCGTCGGCTTTCCAGCTTCGGAAACTCCACAACACCGTCCAAGGCCGCCACCGAGACGTTGTCGGCGATCGCGGACGAAGCCTTTTCTTCCCATTCGTCGTCACCATTCAGCTCAGTCAAGAGCGCTCCCCAACGTCGAAACGATGAGCGTGACACTCGGCTCCTTTCCCTGGACAAGCTTATGAGCGGTACCATGATAGCCGAAAAGAACAAGCTCTGGTTCGAGAAGCTCAACGTCGCCGTCAGAACTCTGATGAACTCCTCAGACTATGACCCTTCACATGATTACGAGCACATCCAGCGAGTCATCCTCAACGTGCACCACATCTGGAGCGCCGAGAAGCATCGCGAGGAGTTCCGCAACGTAGACCCCCTAGTCATCTACGTCGCGGCTCTAGTACACGATGTCGCGGATGACAAGTACCTGACTGACGAATTGACCGTTGAGCTACAGAGGGAGGTGACAGACCAGGACAAACAGGTGCGGCAGAGAGACGCCATCGAAGCATTCATCAAAAAAGCTGCCCCAGAATGCCCACCCTACATTTGGGGTCCTGCGACACACATTGCATCTCTAGTCTCGTTCACACGTGAACTGCGCAAACCCGAACTCATTGCGCAGCAGTGCATGGCGTATCCTGCTCTCCAGATAGTGCAAGATGCCGATCGTCTTGATGGCCTAGGTGCGTTGGGAATTGTACGTGGTGCAGTGTACGGGGGCGCAAATCAGCCGCGTGGTACTGGTACGGTCCGACGGGTCTGTCAGATAGTCGACGAGCGCCATTCTCATTATGTAGAGATGATGAAGACACGTACGGGTAAGAAGGAGGCGAGCAAGCGCTGGGACGCGATGGAGGAAATACGCGACCAGATTGTGCAGCAGGCAGACTGCAGGAGCGTGCTGGAAGAGAACTGAGCCTGGGGGAAAGACGGCGAATGGGAAGAGATGCCCACAGAACGTGACTAGATGCTTTCCGTTTTAGCGAAAGTTGTCTTTGGTATTGTCGCGTTCTTCCTGGTGTATACATAGATTAACATATGAAATATACTCTAAAAGGGACAAGTTGCCTTCGTTGATAGATATGATTACCAGCAGAAGCGTGTGTGCTGTAGACACTCAATGAACACAATGTTGCAGAAGAACGAGTAGCTTTATTATTAGTCTCGTGCATGAGCCATCGAGGTGGTATACCTCGCTTCGAGGGGCACTGCTTTCAGCAATTCCATCGATCGGCGACCACTACCTGCTTTAAGTTTTACCCACGCCGAGAAAACGAGCTTGTCTGGTTGCCACAAATATGTGAGAATGTTTTTAGATGGATGCGAAGACTATGCGAGAGTGAAAGCGCATCGTTGGTGATGCCCAGGTGGTCCGCGATCCAGCGTTCACGCTAGTCGCCCAAAGTAGACTAGCGCCTCGCTTGAAGCACACCTGCCGTCTCTAATTCTCAGCTCACAAGCAGCACCTCGAACTTTCAGACTCCGACCAGCTCGACATCACGCCGCCAAAATGTCCGCCAACTCGCTGAACAAGATCGCGCCCAACAGCCCCTCGAGGCAGAACCCCTCTGAGATCGAGACCAGCATCGCCAGCGCAAGTTCACCGGTCAATTGCACACTGACGACCACGGCTAACATTTGTGATAGGCGTTGACTGACCTCGAGAACAACGTGCCCGACCTGAAGGCTTCTCTGCGCCCTCTCCAGTTCGTCTCTGCTCGCGAGGTATGACAACCCGAACACCACGATGCGCTCTCGAGCGTCGCCTACACACACACCTACACCCATACCCTATAACTGAAGAGGCGGTGGGCACTGGGCAGCAACATCATGCTGACACCAGGATTCTTAGATCGAGGTTGGCCACGGACGCAAGGCTATTGTCATCTTCGTCCCTGTTCCCCTTCTGTCCGGATGGCACAAGGCCCAGCAGCGGTATGTTGTGCTCTCGAATCGATGCAATTCGCATACTAACGGTCCTCAGTCTCACCCGTGAGCTCGAGAAGAAGTTCTCCGACCGCCACGTCCTGATCGTTGCTTCCCGCCGCATTCTTCCCCGCCCCAAGCGCTCCAACCGCTCGCGCACCACCCAGACCCAGAAGCGTCCCCAATCCCGGACTCTCACCGCTGTCCACGACGCCATCCTGACCGACCTCGTCTACCCCGTCGAGATTGTCGGCAAGCGTCTCCGTACCCGCGAGGACGGCAGCAAGATCCTCAAGGTTGTCCTTGACGAGAAGGAGCGCGGCGGTGTTGACTACAGGCTCGACACCTACAGCGAGGTCTACAAGCGCCTCACTGGCAAGGGCGTCAACTTCGAGTTCCCCCAGAGCCAGCAGACCGACTACTAGATCTAGGCGGTTCGTTGGGTTTGGTCGATCTCGTTAAATCTTCATGGGTCAGGAGTACGGCAGGGCTTCGGTTATGCGTCATGTACCGGCATCAAAAAGGAATGAGAATGAGATGACATGAGCCTGTATTAGGCACCCCTTCAAGATACCATTTGCAATTGATTTCTTTTACTGTTCGTGATGGTCTTCTTTGCCCTGACCATGGTACTATCTACTGCCTGTCCAGCTCAGGGTAATGCCTAAACACACCCATGCTGAATGGCTTCCGTCTCTCGCTCCCGAGGTACTCCTTGATCCCCTTGGTCTCCTTGACACTATCATAGAAGGCTCCGAACAAGGTCGGGTAGTTCTTCTTCCTCGCTGCTATTTCCTTTGGGAATGCAAACTCCAGTCCACTCAGCACATGCCAGACAGTAGTATCAGCATAGCTTAGACTATCCCCAACAAGGAACTTGCCCTGTCCTTGCGCCTCGTTGCCCTTGAGCACGCGCTCGAAGAAGCCCAGAAACTTGGGAATGCGGTTCTCGCGGAAGTCTGTTGCCTTCTTCACCGACTCCTCCTTCTGATCCTCGTAGTATTTCGCAACCGCGATGGGGTGGTGCGTGTCGTGGGCTTCATTGTTGAGGTCCAGCGCTGTGAGCGTGTGCGAGAGGATCCACGCCTTCTCTGCCTCGTCTGCGCCGCCGAGGCCGAGCTTATCACCGAGGTAGGCGAGGATGGAGGGAGTCTGATAGATCAGCAGCGCGGCGCCGTTCTTGCCCTCGCCTGGGATGCGCAAGGCGGGTGGGGCGAAGGTGGGTGGGTTGCCGTCGGAGCCTGTGGACGATTGGTCCGTGAGGGAGCTGATGACTTTCATGCCTGAAGGGGTTGTTAGCTATACAGGTATATGATGCGATTGAAGCGCAAGGTGCGTACCATCTTCCGACTCATTGGCGACGTCCTTGTAGGAGACGCCCGCTGCTTCAAATGCCAGGCGAATGAACTCTCCACGTCCGGGGATGCCGGGCCAGTACAGCAACTCGTATGGAGGCTGAGTGCGCGCTTTCTTGGTCGCAGACATGGTGGTAATGTAGTGTCCAAGCGCAATTGAACTTTGGGTGTGGTGTTTGGAGAGCTGTAGGAAGCTATGTCGGGTAAGGAGAGGCCGAAAGGTGGTGCGAAGCATGCAGTTGCGATGGCTGCGTTGTCAGTCCACTATAACGAGGGGAAGAGAGCACCATATCAGGTTGACGTGCCATTGCCGCTCGGCGTGCTCTATGCAGCGTGTTTGGCGTCATTGTGGGGTTGTGGTTGGACTGCTAGATCGTAGATGCTGACATCAGATGCGGAATTGCGCCGAGACCGAGCAATGCGAGGACATCAGATGCAAGTCAACCTGCCAGCTGGCTTGAAGTGGTCGTAGTTCACTTCACAGTCTCGCTACCTAGGTACAGGCTCTCGGAACGGGTTCCGAAAATTGGGGGAGCTCAGCCTTCGTTGAGCAGCGGCTGAGCAGGAGGGAGGCACAAGCGAACATTTACCAAGCGATCTACATACTGAACTTGTGGGTCAATTGAATTACAGTTTCGGCTCATGGACCGTACTCACTTGTTGTGCGATACCGATCGTTGGGAACGTCCATATTGCCTATCTCGCTCCTGTATTCGCTGACAGAATGCTACCTGATAATTAATGAGGGCACCAGTAATGGTTCTACGAGCTCCATAACAATCTCCCATTATCATGCCATCGGGCTGTGTGCTGTCAATAATGTTTCGTGTTACAGAATGGGGCAGAAGGCGATACGCTCGCCTGTGCCCCCAATGGCCCACCGCAGCAGCTCTCATGCACGGAAAGAGCTGCGCCATGTTGCGAGGAACGAAACGTTTGCTACAAATCTACCAACACGACAGATGCAAATCTTGAGGAGATTCTGGGCGCTCCACGTCTCTGCTTATCCAAATCTTGGTCTCGGTTTCAGTCCCGTTAGATCGCAACTACCTGGGGCAATAGTCCTGGAGACGTGATCGGCCGCCCTACACCGTTCAGGTCTAGACTTCCCGCCCGGACCCTCTTCCACGCCCGCTAAGTTCATCACCCAGGAGTGCTGCCTTCAGCTCATCCTACCCGCACCGAACCACGGTTGGACAATCTGTTGTTCGCCATAACAACTTCGCCACTATGTCGACCTACAATGAATACGATCGGCTCATTCATCAGATGCAATCATTTCGCGCGTCTGATGAGGCCAGAGAGCAGTTTGTTACAGTACGTGTCGCTGAGTCGCGTGTGCGGCCGCGCGACAAATGCTAATCAATCAATAGGAAATTCTAGCAAAGTATCGCGAATTGTCCGAAGAGCACGCCAACTTGAAGAATGACTATTTGAGTGAAAGAGATATCAGGAGGAATTATCAGAGGACTGTGGATGAGAAGCAGGCTTTGGTGGGAGATTACACACGTCAGCTGGTGCGTTACTCGCTGTTATGTCAGCCTTGCCAATTCGCGTGCTGACTTTGGCTACAGGAAGCAAGTTCATTTGTGTTGGCACTAATTGATGGGGATGGAGCTATCGTAAGTATTTGCGAGTCCCTGGAGTTCATTATTGTCTTGTGGCGACTTTATATCGATCCTGGCCCACATATGGTTGGCAACATGTACAGGATATGGCGACACGGACATACAACCGAAAGACTTGATTGCTGATTTTGAATCTGCAGTTTCAAGATGCTTTACTCCAAGCCGCTGGTGGTGATGGAGGTTCAGAAGCTGCTTCCCTCCTGTATCATGCAATTCGCGACCATGTTGCTTCGTTGTACAACAGCTCAGGAAGCTGGCCCATTATGGTCCAGGTCTATCTAAGTCTCGATAAGCTTGCACAGAAGTTGGCGTCGGTTGGCCTTCTCCGGTCGCCTCAGGATCTACGAGCTTTTGCGCAGCGCTTCAGCGTCAATCAGCCCTTATTTAGTATAATCGACGTCGGTCACGGAAAAGAAAGAGCCGATCACAAGATTAAGGGTATTGCGTCTCTTCTAATCAAACTGACTGATACTAATAATGCCCTGCAGAAATGCTTCGTACCTTTAGCGACAATCCCACCTGCCGTCATATCGTCTTCGGTGGTTGCCACGACGCAGGATACCTACTAAACCTCGAACACTTCAAACACGATACCGCCAAATCCAGTCGCATCACACTTCTGGAGACCACACCTGCCTACCGCGGCTTCGCGGATTTAGCCAACTTCAAGCGTGCTCGTTTCGACGACGTCTTCAAGAGCGAGCCCCTCCCAGACTACCAGCCTCCAGTGAATGGCTTCGGTCAATTTTCTGTACAGTCGCCAGTACAGGCAGCAGTACAACCACTCCCACGTTCAGTCACGAACAACACCAACACATCATCACCTACGTTCACTCCGAGAGCTTCTGTCGCGTCTCCCTCACCCAGCGTAACCCCGGTCTCGGCTGCTGCGCCCGGCGAGTCGAATGGCGACTCTTCCTGGGGTAAGAAACGCATCCTGTATCGATTTCGTTGAAGCATTGCTAACAAGACACCAGCCACCGTTGGCAAAGCCGGTGCTCCTGAGAACGGCAGCATTTCGATCGCACCTACTACGGCCGCTACTAAGAAAAACACTAAGAAGAGATACGCTTATTACAACAAAGCTGGTCAGAGATTGGATGAGCCACTGCCATCGAAAGATCCTGCTGCCGCAGCTTCGCTCGAAGCACGCATGAAGAAAGTTGGCAAGAAGATGTGTAATCATTGGTAAGCTGCCACTTTGGAGTGCCGAGACTACGACGAGCAACTCCCAGTGCTCCACTGTTGCTACTGAGACCCAACTAATATACCGTGCAGGCATCTTGGCGGCTACTGCGAGAATGGCAAATTCTGCAATTTCCAACACGAGCCGAAGCTTACACCCGCTGAGTTGAATGCCTTGCGCTACAAGACGCGTAGCTTGGCTTGCAAGAACAAAGGCTGCGAGAACATTGACTGCTGTAAGTACACATATGGAAGAGGCCCTCACGCGACGATGCCTCTCAACCTCGTCGTATTATGGATCTGCAGTAATGCTAACATTACGGTTTCAGATCTGGGTCATCAATGTGCTCTTGAGCGCGACCATGGATATTGTTCGTTCCCCGAGAACTGTAAGTACCGTCGACGTGGAAATACACTGGAGCTTTGCTGATTTCTTGTTTCTCCACAGGCCACCTTCGTGCTACGCATGGCATGGACAAGGTCAAATACGTCAGATACGACAAGGACGACAATGCAGATTACGCTCCTTGATTGAGTGAGATAAACAAGGATCGTGGCCCAAGGTGTCAGATCAGTCGAAAGTCATGTTGACCACGGAAGTCTCGCGGCGGCCATGTTGTCTAGATAGTATAAAATTGCTAATCATATTCTCCTGTCTTCGTCAAGCTACTCCCATTAACTCACTGTTCTACGTGAATCATCTCTTGCGAAGAAAGTCAAGTCGTCCCGTGGTACATCTACCACTGACCTGATGAAGGCTCGCGAGAGCGGCCTACGAAGCGATCTCGGCCGAACATAGGCGACTAGGCGATTAGACCCTTTGTTTTCCCCACACTCCACACGAAGACCACGCGAAAGCCAGAAACTGACGAGGCGGATAATATGACGGGACAAGCAATGCTGGTGAATATTGTCCTGCGGCCTTATTCAAGCCGCGGCAGCTGAATTCGGCAGTACGGTAGGGGACTCTTTTAACGTAATCCCTCCACAAAGACACGGGATAGGACCGACTTCTTAGTGTAAATAGTTCATTACGGATGCATTGCAAGATCCTGTCTCACTGACTATCTTGTCACCTTCAAAACGCTTTTCCCAACATGCCTTTCTTGTACTCCGACACGCAACCAAAGATCCTCATTGCAGGGGCCGGTATCGGCGGACTGACCACCGCGCTAGCACTCCATGCCGCGGGCTTCAGCGACGTTCAGATCTTTGAGACAGCATCAACGCTCACCACACTCGGCGTCGGCATCAATGTTCAACCTTCTGCAGTTCTGATTCTGCGCAATCTGGGTCTGCTCGAGGCCCTGGAAAAGACTGGCATCAAAACGGCAGAGCTGAACTTCTACAATCGTCATGGAGATTCTATTCTGAGCGAGCCAAGAGGGATGAATGCAGGTTACGAAGTGCCTCAATTCTCAATTCATCGTGGAGAATTCCAGATGTTGCTTCTGAGCGCTGTGAAAGAACGCCTTGGTAACGATGCTCTACATCTGAACCATGCGCTGGCGGCGTTTGATCAAAACGACGAAAGCATCACAGCGCGCTTCGCGCATCGAAGGGATGGTGCCCCGGTGGACGAGTCAAGCGTAACAGGCGATATCTTGATCGCGGCCGATGGCATCAATTCCGCAGCAAGAAGGCTTCTCTACCCCGGCGAAGGCCCACCACGCTTTTCGGGACGCATGCTCTGGCGCGGATGCATCGAGCGCGACCAGTACCTCACAGGCGCAAGCATGGTGTGGGCAGGTCACGCCGATCAAAAATTCATCGCATACCCCATCAGCGCACGAGCAGCCGCCAAAGGCAAAAGTTTAGTCAACTGGATTGCAGAGCTACGCACACGCGACAAAGACGACACAGACCTCACACCCCCCAAAACTGACTGGACTAAAGCCGTCAAGAAGGACGTTTTCGCAGGGCCCTTTGAGACATGGAGATGTGGCGGTCTTGAAATGAAGGATCTGGTCGACAACACAGAGAAAGTTTTCGAGTTCCCCATGTCAGATCGCGACCCTGTAGAAGCCTGGTCCTTCGGCCGGCTTACTCTCATGGGCGACGCAGCACACGCCATGTACCCCATCGGTTCGAACGGCGCGTCACAAGCCATCATCGACGCGGAAACGCTTGCTAAGCATCTCTCTGGAAACACCTCTGATATTCCAGCCGCGCTGAAGGCATACGAGCAAGAGAGGTTGCCGCCCACCGCTAAGATTGTCATGGCGAATCGTGCGAACGGGCCGGATCATGTCTTGCAGCTTGCTGAGGAGAGGGCGCCCGATGGGTTTAAGAATGTGTATGATGTTATTCCTAAGGATGAGCTGGAGGAGATTGGTAGGGTGTATAAAAAGGTTGCAGGATTTGAGATGGAGAGTGTTAATGTGAAGGCGAGGGAGACCGAGGGGGTGCATAGGGAGAAGGGGCTGAAGAGTCCGGCGGACTGGATACAGTGATAGATTTATCAAACGAGAAAACGATAGTATAGCCTGTTGAAGCTGCGCATTCTGTATATCGTTGACAGGTGTGAACCCGAGTTTCTCCGATACTTGCAACCCATATTGCAGGCACGTGCTGGGCACGATGACGTTCACGCTAGTCTAGTGCGAAGAGTAGTTTTCAACCGAAAGGAGATGGAACGCTATCCCTACCAACCTCCTCATTTTGGTACCATTAGGATTCGTTCATCATTACTTCGTTATTGCTTGCTAAAAACATCTAGTAAACTATCTATGAGCCCTAATGCCGGTGGCAGCGCCATCGCGGCCGTACCAAGGCCCCAAATCTCTTGTTCAGGGCGGTGCACCCCTTCAGCGGTGCCGTCCAAGAGCCAACCCTACCATGATCATGCGCATCACTTTCTCGGCGCCGTCTTCGACCAATACATCAGTCTGGACGATTGCCTGTTCCAGGGTCACTGGCCCTCTGAGGATGCTCGTGAAGGCTTTGATGCCTGCACCATAGCAGCCGTCTGCTCCTTCCCCGATGGTACCAGCTAGTGCAACCACCTGCGCCCCGTTCCGCTTTGCGCGACGAGCAATCTCTGTCGTCATCTGTCTTCGTCAGCGTTCTGATGGAGAAGCAACGATAAAGGATACCTACCTTTCCGTTTGGTGACTGGAAATCCAGAGCGCCCTCCGCCGTAATCACGAAATCCCACTGATTCTCGAAAACCCGGTCGAATTCAAAGTACTCGTTGATGGCTTCGGCGCGGGCACGCAATGTAGCGCCGAGCAACATCAAACCTGCTCCGAGACCTCCACTGGCACCGCTGCCTGGGGTCTGAGAGATGTCCTCTCCAAGCGTCGACTGAGCAACCTGCGCCAGCCTCTCAAGCGATGATGCGAGCATTTCGACTTGAGCAGGCGTAGCTCCCTTCTGCGGCCCATACACTCGCGCGACTCCTTTGGAACCACAGAGCACATTCTTAATGTTGCATACGGCCTCTATCTGGACCTTCTCGGCTGCATTAACGTTAGGACCGGTATGGATGTGAGACGTGGGTGGCTTACCAGCATTCTTTTGTAGTCGAGGATGCACATCAGCCCAGCAGATGCTGGATAGGCGGGCTAACGATCGACCACCGCCGGCTTTGGGTAATTCCTCACCATATTCATCAAGCAACCGGACACCGAGAGCCTGGAGCATTCCCGCCCCTCCGTCTGAGGTTCCCGAATCTCCACATCCAATGATGATCTTTGTGGACCCTGCATCAAGCGCTCTCTTGATAAGCTGACCTACCCCATAAGTAGTGGTGATCGTTGGGTCGCGTTCGTCTTTCGGGACCAAGCGGAGGCCTGCCGCTGCCGCCATGTCCAATACAGCCGCCTTCTTGTCCTTGCCAATAAAACCAAGGTGCGATTCGACCGCCGATCCAGTAGGGCCGGTGACTGGCACGTCGACGATACATCCGCCATGGGCCGCTACCAATGCACGAGCAAAGCCCTCTCCACCGTCATGCAGAGGAAGTTTGCGCAGGATAACAGAACTGCGATCGAGCACCTTTCGGATGCCTGCCTCGATTGCATCAGCCACGTGTTCTGGGCCCAGACTCTCTTTGAACCCTGACGGTGCTACCAGAATCCTCAGTGGATGTCCGGCCAGAATGTCTGACGTTGGAGTGGGTAGAACCGCCGACGCCGAGTGCGTGAGGTCGTCTGCTTGCTGTTGCGGCAAGTCGAATGTCTTCAACGAAAGGAGTCGCGTGATCTGCGGTGCGAGTGTTGACGTTGCGGCTGGAGCAGTGTGGGCACATGGCTCCTTGCTTACTGACACGCTGGCGAGCATGTTTGATTCGAAGAGAGTAAAGCTGAGTAGATGATCACGAATAATGCTAATGAGACAGGATGTTGATCGAATGATGTCGAAATCGAAAAGCGAACGTGAGAACGTGGTAATGTAGAGCGAGCGTGCGTCAATCAATATGCCTGATTGGATACCGTCATCATATGGACCTACGACGTCCTTATATCTTGGTCCCAGACTCTGCTCGTCTGGAGTTGCACGCTCACGCGATAGACCTATGCGACATAGCCCGTAGAGCTATTTCCGGTGCATCACTTGGAAACGCCACCTGAGGTGTTACTTCCAGCCTCGAAACCACGGCATCAACGTCATTGAAACTGCAAGTACTCACACATTCATGAAACATGAATGCCGCACTTCCTAGCTCATGGCATCGTGGCATAGCCGGAAATGACGACTACTATAACACAGCCCTGCTAGCATTCGTACTACCAAGTGTATAGCTCTAAGTCATGGTTGGCTTTTCTTGATATCTTGATTAGTATTAATCCCGCATACCCAAAGTTCTTGACTGACCCACTTTGTTCTTGAGGTCTCGATTTCGGCCAATCGCGGCGATTGCACGAGGCTTCACCAAGCGGTCTAGCGAATAACCAAGCTGTACCTGCTTGGCAAGAAGAACCGAGCACAGCCAGGTAGCTGACGTCTACAAAGAAGGCTGCTGTCGTTGATCAGTCTCCACCGGGAAAAAGCTTACGATCTCGTGGCAGTAGCCGCAACCTCGTCATTGGCTATAGGGGACCTGAGATGTGGTGGCTACCGTGCGCCCACGCGACAGTTTTCTATTCTTGATTAGACCCTCGACAAGGGTCTCACCGTAGCCTTATCAACCTGAAGCTGGGCATCTCGAAGCCATCTTTCTTGGACCATGGCATTCACGCTACACCGGTGATACTGTACTTTGAGGTCATTTGGCAGTATAGTGCTTTTGGTACGGTGAACAGCCTCCTCTTGGTGAGCGCCTCTTTGACACTGCCTCAATTGGTGAGATTTGGCAAGAAGGTCTCGATACTATATGCAGGCGATCTGCCCCTGTAACAAAAAAAGGTACCACTCATCATCACAGTCGCTATCATCACTCTTTGGATTTATCATTCGTTCAAACTCAACGCTCGTTACTTACCATGAACTTCAAAGATAGGTTACTTGGTCGATCTTCCCGAGACGACGGGAGCGCACGCGACTCCTTGGCACTGCCGAGATTTTCGTTCGAAGGGGACGGTCGTTGGCTACTTAGCACGCAGCGTCTGTTCCTGCAGTGGGAGCAAGAAGAGTCAGGGTACGAGGCTGGCCGCGAGAACATGGAGGAGGGCCTTCGTAAAGGCGAAGAAATCATTGTAGGTCTCTTGGGTGTTTCATGGCACTGCCACTGACGTGACGTGTAGATCACCTGGGACGGCCCGAACGACCCTAGCAACCCTCTCAACTGGAACAGCAAACGCAAATGGGTAGCTACCATACTTGTGTCGCTGTTCACGTTCATATCGCCATTCTCATCGACTATGGTAACACCTGTGTTGCCGGACATTGGGGATGACTTTGATATACCGGAAGGCTTTATGCGCCAACTGGTCATGACCATATTCCTTCTTGGCTACGCTCAAGGGCCATTTGTACTTGCGCCACTAAGCGAGATCTTCGGGCGCGTTACGGTCTTACAGTATGCCAATCTAGTGTACCTGCTTTTCAACACTTGCTGCGGGTTTGCGCAGACCAAGGAGCAGATGCTTGCTTTTCGGTTTCTTAGCGGTCTAGGCGGAGCTGCACCCCAAGCTGTACGTCGAACCATTGCACATTCATCGCAAGTCCCACATCATTGATATACATGGCTGACGAAAGATAGTTGTGTAACGGCGTCCTCGCTGACACCTGGTCAAAAGAAGAACGTGGGAAAGGCCAGGCCATATACGGCATCTTGACATGGCTGGCACCGTGTGTAGCACCAATTGTCGGCGCATATATATCCACAGGCGCGAATTGGCGCTGGATCTTCTTCGCCACATCCATCTTCACCGTCCTCGTTCAGCTCACCGCACTCTTCTTCCTACGCGAGACGTTTGCACCCGCCATCCTCGGCAAAAAAGCAAAAGCTGTCAGGAAAGCGATGAAGGGCATTCGGAACGATGTGGTTGTGCGGACTGAGTTTGAAACAGGAGATCGTATGAGCAAGATACTGAGGAAGAGGTTGATCCTGCCGTTCATCATGATGTTCACCCATCCCGCAACTCAGGCACCCTCGATCTATCGCGCCTTTCTGTACGGTGTCATGTACTTGATGCTCTCGACGTTCCCGATGGTGTTTGAGGAGGTGTATGATATGGACACTGGGCCTGCGTCGCTCAACTACTTGTCGCTTTGCTTGGGCTTCATGATCGGCTTGCAGATTTCGCATCCGCTTATCGATCGGGTACGTCTATCACGCCCACCTTCCTGATCTTAATGTACAGCGCTGACTTGAGATTAGCTGTATGAACGGATGAAGACTTACTACAAGCTCACCGAAGGGGTTCCAGAGTTTCGTGTTCCGCCCATGATCATAGCAGGCATCCTCTGCCCTATTGGTCTTTTTATCTATGGTTGGAGGTCAGTCTACTCCACATCTCTCACTGTCATTATACTAATCGTATACAGCGCACACAACGCCGTTCACTTCATCGTCCCCAATATCGGTGCCGTCATCATAGCAGTCGGCCTTATAATCGGGTTTCAATGCTCTCAAGCATACACAACCGACGCGTACGAAGCCAACTACGCAGCCTCCGCAGCTAGCGTAGGAGCTTTCATGAGAACTATGTGCGGCTTCAGCTTTCCGCTTTTCGCGCCAAAGATGTATGAGACATTGGGTTTGGGATGGGGAAACAGTTTGTTAGCATTCTTGACTTTGGCAGTGGGTTTAGTAGGGCCTGTTGGACTGTGGTTCTATGGGGCTAGGCTAAGGCAAATGAGCTGGAGGGGCTTGGGATAGATCACGGTATGCATATAGAAGAGAATCATGTTTTGGGGAATGTATTTGTTGCAACCAAAGTATGACTACGCGAGGAGGTATCCGCAGCACCGAAAACACCAAGACACCAACCCCACGAACAACCCAGGAGGTCCTTAGACAGCGCTCGAACACCAAACCCAGACCCGAATTAGACCCTAACAGGCCACAACACCCCCTCTAGTTACTCCAGAAGGCCAATCGTACTGAATCCGTCCTATACCTCGCCATCAATGACGACACCCAGATTAGCGGTGTCGCACTGACTGGTATAGTCTCCAACTCTTTCTTCCAGGTCAATATTCTTGCTCCCTCTCACGGGCCAAGAGCCTGTGACCACCTCACTCGTCATCAGAGGCATAGGCCTCAGCTATCTCCATCTCGTGCTCCACCGACTCCGCGTTGTGGTACAGGGTCAACCTCTCAACGTCGCCGCGCAATTTTGTGTTCTCAGCCTGAAGATCTTCGTTATCGTCAAGAACCTTCTTCATCTGGTCCTTGACCTCTGTAGTACTGCCCATGAAGAGACTGTCTCTGATCTCTTCATAAGTTTCTACCCCAGTCTTGAAAGCCTGTTTGGTCTGAAGTAGGTTCCACCTTGATCGAAAGCCGTGGCACCGCTTCTGCCAGTGTTCCTTCTCGTTTTTGGCGGTCCTGAGCTCCTTTGCTCTAGCTATCATCTCGTTGTCCCTCTTGACCAGGATCTTCTTCCACTCTTCTTTTACATCCTCTCTGAGCCCCTTGTTCTCTTCCTCGTATTCCTCAATTCGATATTTCAACGCCTTGATTTCCGAACTTGCTTGCGAGTTCTTCAAGTCGTCGAACTCCTGCTGGCGCTCACGTTTGTGCTCCGCGATCTTCGCGGCGATGACCTTGTCTCGCGAATCGATGGCTTCATTGAGTTGATCTTTCGCCTTCTGCTCATCGCGTTCTAGATCGTCGATCTTGATCTTGAGCTCGACGACTTTGAGGGTGTAGTTGTCCTTCTCGGCCTGGAATTCCTTCTTTAGCGCTACAATCTGCGTTGAAGACGCTGCATCGATGATTGCGGGCTGACCGCTGCTCAGAGCTTGGATGCGTGCATCGAGCTTTTGGCATTCGGTCTTCCTAGCCGCGACGTCATGTTCGAGAGAGATGATGCGCTGTTGCAGAACCGTGATGGTTTGCCGATTGGTCTGGATGGTTTGAATGTTGTGCGTCGCGTCTGTTTCAAGCTGCTGTATCTTCTGATCACGTTGGTCGATCTCTTGGATGCCTTCTTGATGATAACGGCCGATTAGATCCGTCTGGCTGTCATTTGTGTCCTGTAAGTCCTTGATAGCCTTGTTCTTTTCCGCCAAGTCCGCCTGATACTGCGCGATTGTTGCAGCTGGCGTCCCATTGTTGCCTCCTACTGTTTGGAGATCTTGTAACTGACGGTAAACCTCCTCGCCCTTAGACTTGGCTTCAGTAGTCTCTCCGATGGCGGTATCGCACTGCTGAGTGAGGACCATGACGTGGTTATTCAACTTCTGCACATTGACGTTCAATCTATGAACCTGGTCTCGGAGATCCCTCTCAATAGTGGAAGCAGACGGGGGGTTGATCGCGGGGTTCCTCGCCGACATGTCCAAGACCTGCTGTGAGGCAAGTTTCAGCTGCTTCTCCAGTCCCGCGGACTTTTGGTCTGCCTGAACCAGGGCGTTTCGTAGGTCTGGGTCTCCCAGACAGTTAGCCGTGTTGATGCTTGCCTTCAGTGTGGTCATTTCACTGTTGTGCTTCGCTTTCAGGGCATCGGCGTCGGTGCGATGTTCTTTGCGCAACCTGTCCCGCTCCCCATTCCAACGCCGTTCGTCATCTACACCCTGGGTTTTCTTCTGAGCCTGAACTAGCGAAGTCTCGTTCTTGGCTTCGTTGAGCGCCTGCTCTAGGGCAACGACCTTGGTGCGCAGAGGCCGTCGCTCAATGAGCTCAGCCTCTTTCTCTTCGTGCAGCTGGGCGGACTCCTTGACAGCCTCGCCAACGTTGTCAGTGTTGATCATTTTTCGAAGGTTTGTGATTTCTTGTTGCTTGTCTTGAAGCAACTCGTCGAAGGTCCGTACGACGCCAGAAACGTACTGACTGCGCAGTCGGGTCATGATGGTCTCTTTGAGATCCCTGATCTCCGTTCTCTGGGCCTTGTTGTCCAGTTCCAGGTATTCTAGGCGCTGTTTGTCCGCGACCAGAGTGCTCAGTCTAGCCTCTAACCTGATATTGAGTGTCTTTTGGTCAATTTCGCCTTCGCCAGCTTCAAGGACACCGAGGCCTTGAAGTATCGCATCTCGCCCGGGCAGAAGCTTAGCTGACCTCTCAGCGTTGTCGCATCTATGAATCAGGGTCGCTCGCTCGGCCAGTGCCTTCTCTGCAATTTCCGCGCGGCTTCGCTTCATTGTCTCGTAGGCCACTTGCTTACTCTTCAACTGTCCTGATAGTCTGATTACCCTTGGCTCACGGTACCACATGAGCGCGATTGCGGCAATAGAGATCATCAGTAAGACGAGGAGGATGGCCGATAACGCTCTCCATGGGAACCATGTTGCTGAGGCAGACACTGCCGCGGGCATTTGTGTGGTAACTGGAGGGTACGCTTCGGCCTCAGAAGTACTCGGGCTCAGAGTGGCGTCGGGAGTATAGAGTATCGTCGTGTATGGGGTTGCCGGATCGATGGGGTAGTGTGTCCATTTGGTGAGCCAGTGGTGGTCTATGGAGGTGGGAACAGACGTGAGATGTTCAGTCACTGTAGCGTAAAGGGTCTTTGGGACCGTAGCTGTTGTGGTGGTGGTGCGCGTCGCAGTTTCTGTTTGGATGATGGTCTTGTAGACCTCATCAGTCAAGGTCTTCGGCTTCGGAAAGATGGTGGTCGTTTCGGTGACTGTGGTAGCGTTCGCGGCGCCGGCGGTGAGGAACTGACGTTGCTCGGGTGCGGAATTAGGGGATGTGACTGGCAGAAGATATGTTTGTATGAGGAGGGACAAGCCGCACCAGACAAGACCTTCGTAAGGTGCGACGTCCGACATTGCGTGACGTTTGCTTTGTCGAGCTGGAGTGTCAATTGCAAATAAAACTGGTGTTCGCTAAATGTGTGGTGTAGCGAGTGTTTTGGAGTCAGAGTTTTCGGTCGCAAGGTGGTTGTCAAGGCGATGTCGCACAAGCTGTGTGGGGGGTGTAAAGCGTTTGCAGATGACGTCCAACAAAGGTGCGATTCGTCAGTCCAGTGACAAAGCGCATTAATCTACAAAAGTGAAGGTGACTTCGAACGTAACAATGATGACACTGTGTAACGATACATGTAGATGCTGGGGTGACGGACAATGAGGAGGCCAACGCACACCAAAGGAAAGGAAGGGCGGCCAACCGGTCGCAACGAGCGCGAAGATGTCTCAGCAGTGTCTCTCGGTGACCATCGATCACCCCAAAGCTCCCAGAACGAGAAAAAGCTTTTCGCTGTTGAGCTCGAAACATATCTTGCGCGCATCGTTAGAGTGCAGTGCAGCACAGTGAAAGACAAGTCTAAAGAAGTCCATGCTCGTCCCCATATTTAAGCTTGCACGTATTCATCGTCGTCTTCTGCAACTAAAGCCCACTCATCACTGCAGATAGTATGTAAATTGTGAAATGCAAAGCCATGACATTGGAAATCGCCTGTAACGACATCACGCCAAGGGGACCGCTGCCGAGTAAAGAGCGCGCACCAATTTGAGCTTATTCCGATTGTTCCAACTCTTGCGCAGCGCTGTATTTTGATGCATCGAAGTGAAAGGCAGGATGGAAATGGCTACTTCTTGTGTGAGAATGCAGTAGAAGACGTCGCCAATAGCCAAGGGGATCCGCTTCTCAGTGTTTCCTGCTAGGCCCGCTACGGGCAAGCGCTGAAAAGCCGCCGCCTGTGCCCGCCTCGCGAACGGCATTCTGAACACCACACTGAAGACGGCAGCGGTACAGCACACAGCATCCTACAGCACGATAAGCATCACGCGTAGTGGTTGTTCTACATACGATAGCCATACAGTCGTGATGAAGGGGTGTTTCCCGGCTCCCACCTGAACATGGATCGGCACCTCCTCAGCCTCTACACCGCCTGAACAGCCTCCCTTCGTGCCTCAACTTCCTGGTCGCACAGCTCAATCGACTCGTACGATATTTCTTCTGCCCCAGGAGCACTGATCACAACATCTTATGCCATTGACATGGTCATTGGGCTTGAGTATCCAGTTTGCAGCCCAGATCGCAAATGGGTTTCCTAATTTGGGCATCTTAACCCGCCCACAAAAGATGCTCCACTACGGCACACGTGCCCGCTTCGAACAAAATTCACAAGTCTCAGCTATTACACCGGAAGCACGGGTCTCTGGGACCCTTGATCTGGGGTAGATGAGACCTTGTCGCCGTTTTACTCCACTTCGGTCTGGTATATCCACGCAGCACGCAACAGGCTGTAATGGAGGAGACTTTGGCATCGTTTCAGCTGACTGCTTATCTTAAAGGCGACTTGTCCCCATCTTTCGAAGAGCCGCCTGCCTAAAAGAACGTCGGATCCGCTGTAGTCTTCCGCATACCCGAGCATCAGGATTGTGCTAAATCGTGGGCACGCGACCGCGGCTAATTCCGTTGCCTGTATTACGACCTGTCTCTGTACTCTCTCTCTACTTTCCATGTTACTGCGACATACGTACTTCAACATGTCACCAACAGCATCAGCAACCGCTGCCGTACCCACATTGACGCAAAGTGGAGCACGAGTCGCTCTACAAGCCGCGGAGCAGCATGCGATCGAAGTCGGTGTTCCGATGTAAGAGTTCCCCTCCCAGACGCATTGAATGCAGCAGGATGGGACCAACCATGCTAACACAACAACAGGAGCATCGCCGTAGTTGACGCGCACACACACCTTTTAGCCTTCACGCGCATGGACTCGGCGAAAATAACGTCCATCAACACCGCCATGGACATGGCCTTCACTGCCGCTGGCAATCGCATCCCGACCTCCGCATACCAAGAAACACCCTGGCCAGGCAGCGCAACCTCGGGCATTGGCAACACAATCATGGGACGCTTCACTACGCTGGGCGGTGGTGTACCTATCTTGTCAGCAGCGGGCGACATACTCGGGGCTATAGGCTGCTCGACGGGCACGAGCATGCAAGACGAGGCTGCAGCAAAGGCCGGCAGAGACGCCGTACTGGACGTCATCAAGAAAGAAAAAGAAGCCGAGGAGACGAGACTACACGAGGAGAGGCAAGCAGTGCTGACACTATGGAAAGAGAAGGAGGAAGAAGTAGGAAATTTGAGAGAGGAGCTCGAAGGCATGGATAGAGGGAGCAAGAGGATGAGGTTCGACGGCGGAAGGAGTGGAAGTGTCAGCGTTGCTGGCAGTCTGATGGGACGACGAGCGAGTACACAAGCAGGACTAGCACCAGATACCCCGCCAGAAGATGGCGAGCTGCTTCCGAGTTTTGTGGGGGAGGTGTCGGTGGGGCGTTATTGAGCGATTTATACCTCTTACGTTAGCGTTCTGAGTATCAGGTTCGTGAACTAAGCATGGCGTTCATGGTGGTAGTTTGGGCGAAAAGAGGCGTTGGTACAAGGGAGGTTTTTTGTTTGGTAATGATGAACGAACACTATTTGGTCTATGTATGGTCATGGTATGTGGGAAGATGTATGGCTTAGGGTTGTCTGCATATGCGCAAGTCATTCCAGGAGTGATCGAGCGGGGCAGCCTTTCCACTTTTGATGAAAGGTGTGGTGGAGCTCAACATGTGCGTCGGCGTTGTCGGCAACATGTCGACCAAACGTCATAGAACCATGATCGCCCGTTTGGTTCTAGGAAGAACTAGGGGACTGTGGAGTAAGGAAGCATGATTTGCTGGCGCTCTACTCGGGATGGTGAGCATCGGCAGAGGTGCATGCCAGTATGTATCTGAATCGGAAATCATCTGAACAGGAATGTCTCTCTGGCTGACATCTTATTCACTTCCAACAAATGATCCAGTACCGTATATTCACTGCCAACCCTCTTCGATGCCGGCATATTTGAGTTCGGGGAAAGATTCACGCATGGCAAACCTATACGCATCATATCGTCTTCCACGCCCGGCAGGATCTTTGTATACCGGCATTATTCACGCCCGACAATGTCTATTCACGCCCGGCACATGTTTCCATACCGGCAATTCCATTACTACCGGCAGAGGCATTTAGCACCGGCAAACGTCTTCACGCCCGGCATCTTTCCCATACCGGCACTTTCTTTCAGCATCGACACTTTCTTCTCATACCGGCACTCTTTACCATACCGGCACTCTTACCATACCGTCACTTTAATGACCCCTCATTCAGGCCCGGCAAATTGTTCCAGCACCGGCAGGTGTAATCAACCCCGACAGAACTGATTCAACCACGGCAAGTGCATTCAGCACCGACGACCGTATCCAGTACTGGGAAGTGCTTTCAACACCGGCAAACTCATGCAGCATCGGCAAGTGCTTTCAACCACGGCAGACTGCTTCAACCACGGCAAGCACATTCAACTCCGGCAAGCACATTCAACTCCGGCAAGCACATTCAACTCCGGCAAGCACATTCAACTCCGGCAAGCACATTCAACTCCGGCAAGCACATTCAGCACCGGCAACTCGATTCACCTCCGACAAATGCTGGCATCATTCTCATACCGAAGTATCAGACCTTGGGCTAAGTAAAGCTAAGTGACCGCATGAGTACATATAGGAGCAGATGACAATGGAAGCGGAAAGCAATACAACCGAGTATATTCTACAACTGCGCATCCTTACTTAGTCCTTCAGCGCATCACAAGGCAACGGTTGAACGAACATGAACGAGCTTCTTCTGTGCTTCACCATCTAGGCGATGTTTGCGTGCAGAACCCACAATCACCGTCGTCAAGAAGAGATAATAATCCACGGAGCGCGACGCAGACTTCGTCCCGATACAATGTGAGCATAGTGACACGCAATGGATCTTATAGGTCGTACACGTCGCAAAGCAAGCGTCTCTCGTCGTGATCTCCCACACCAATTCGTGTGATTATGGAGCTGATCGAGCTTGCTTTCGACAAATCGTATTTCTGCGTGAGAACGGCATGCACGCGCGACATGACGGGCTGGTTCGAGCTTCTTCCTCATCTCCAAGAACCGCCCACATGCCGAGGGCAATTTCCTAGAAACTCGTGGGGACATTGCCCGTCGCGCTACGAACATATGGAGAATTAGCCTGCGTTCGTTTGCGCGATGCTGAGTTCATTTTCGGCTGGAGGAGGCGGCGGTAGTACGACCTTCGCGTAAGGAACTGTTCACATTTACAATCTTCTCGTTGGAAACGCAATGAATTAATCACCAAAAGCTACGTCGATGCGATACACTTGTCGCATTCCATAGTTATCGGGTCTGCTCAAAGTCCTCAAGGTTTGCCTGGGAACGGCAGACTCACAACGACTTACGCAATCTCAACACCACATGGGAACGAGATCGGGCTGAATACTCGTCACAGCCCGTCTTCGATTGCGCAGTCGTCGCTCGTCACCCAACTTACGTACCCCCATGCACCGCCATGGTCGGGAAGCCCTTCTTGAGGAAACAGCCAACGGGCGCAGTCGAGACACCCCGCGCAATGAACCACCGGCGCGCCTCAATTGTCAAGCAGAAGTCCAGCCACCTCTAGACCACGCGCGATCTTCATGCCAAATCACCGACCACATCGCCGAAGCCAACGGTATCAGTATCCCCACCCCGATTCACGAAATAACGATGTGCAAGTGACGACAGTTTTTGATCCCTGTACCGAGTGGGCGACCCAGTTTACCGATGGGCAGCGGGCCAGTGTTGGGCCAGGCGAAGCCAAGCTGGGGGGAAGCCGACACCCGGCCTGCGCGCGCGCAAAAGGCCCCATATCGCAAGTCTGTCAGCGTTGTAGCATTGCAGCGTTGCTCGTGCGACGCATGGTGTTGAACATGATTGTTTCTTCGTTTTGGTTTCAATGGTTTGTGAGATGCGCGACCTGGTTTTCGGGCGACGCCAGTCTCCTGACAAACCACACTTTGAAGCGACAGGCAAACTCTATCGCCACGGCTCCTGACCGCCAGATGCCATGGCGCGAGGCACTCGATACTTAGCTGAACGTTCTTTGTTGGCAGGGGGGCTGGGAGCAGCTATTGGGATTTGGGGGCACACACTGTCTTCTGTGGTTGAGTGACGAAGCGGCGCGGCAGTCTGCCAAAGCCGTCCAAGAACGCGCCACGCCCCCTTGGCAGGCACAGAACACGAAGTGTGCCTGAGCCCTGAGTGCTTACGGGGTCATCTCCGCAGCCGCCCGGGTTCGTGCTGGCTCGCGTCTGTCACCTTCTTTCTTTGGCTGCCGTGCGCACGCTCAGCTCGTGTTCAGGTACGAGGCGTATCAAAAAAGCGAAGATCGCTGGCGGATTTTATTGTTAGTAGTGGTGTTAAGAGTGATCGTCGCAGGGTGGGAGTGATAGGCAATTGTTCGTTCAGCGTTGTCACATGGGCAAAACAGAAAGGCAAGGGATTCGGGTCATGAATTCGTGGATCTGTAATTTGGCAACAGAGCAAAGAGGCGCTCCCCTAAAAAATGAGCAGGGAAAATAAAGAGGTTTGGTACCGTAAGATACAGAAGAAAAGAATATGTTTCCAACCAGCGCGAAAGCACGCGTCGCGAGTTTGATCTCCAAGCCGCCCTGTCATCTACAGTAGAAGAAGTATAACCCCCATACACCCTCATGACGTGTGTTGCGACTTGCTTATGCAAGGTCGCAGCACCAGATACCCTCGTGGTTAGCACAACCAATCTTGGTGTACTGGTCGGAGGTGAGTATCTCAGCGTGGCCGGTCTGACCCTCGTAGTTCCAGCCCTTGGATGCGCTGCCGCAGACATCCTCAAGACCGGGCAGGCTGGGGATCTCGCAGAGCCATCCACCGTAGAAGACGTGGTCGAAGGACTCCATGTCGGGCTTGCCGGGGGCAAGAACCTGGCCGTAAGTGCCGGGGTTGAGCTTGTGCTTCATGACACCGTTACCCTCAACAACGACGTTCATGGCGTTGGACTCGAGCTTGGAGTCGCACTCGAGAGACTTCATGCCGAGCTTGGCACGCGCCTCCTCAACAATGCCCATGTATCCACCGCTGGAAGGAGCGGGAGCAGCGGGGGTGGTGGTTGGCTTGGGAGCCTCGCTGGTAGGAGCAGGGGGAGGAGGAGCGTCGTAGGTGGTGGGCTTCTGGGGAGCGGGCTGGTAGACCATGGTGGTGGTGGGCTTGGGGGCCTCGCTGGTGGGCGCAGGGGGAGGGGGAGGAGCGTAGACGGCAGTGCTGGTGGGCTTGACGGGAGCGTAGGCGGGCATGGTGTTCTTGGCCGGGGCCTCGTACGCAGCGCTGACGGAGGAGCTGGTAGGCTTGGGGATCTCGTAGCCCTCGGTGACGTAGACAGTCTTGACGACAGTCTCAACGACGACATGAACGTTCTTGACGTGCTTGTGCTGGCTGCCGTAACCACCGTAGGAGGGAGCGGCGAGCGCAGAGCCAGCCAGAATGGCGGCGGAGAAGGCGGTCGAGTAGCGCATGTTGATTGATTTCGTGTTGGTTGATTTAGTAAAGGATAGGAGCTGGACTTGAGTTGACAGGTAAGGTTCGACGGTCGAATTGTTTTTTGGTTACAGATGCGAAGTGAGCGTGTTTGTGCCGAAGGGCGGTAGAGAACGTGGTGTCAAAGATTGACTGTGTAGAGAGTGAATGACTGGATGTCGAACCTGGAAGTCGCAGACCTGGGGTAGTAGAGGAAGGCAGAGGGGATAAACTACATTTATACAACTTGACGCTAAGCAGGAAACGGGCGTTGTGCAGCTGACATGGGCCAGGAAATTAAACGCGAGCGCCATCACATTTCCGCCCACGGCCCCGTCCTCCGCAGATTTACCTGTGCCTGGAGCTAGAGGCTCTCAAGCGCAATCCTCGTCCCAACCAAGCCCTTGGTAGACCGCTTGCATCCTTTCATTTCGTCTCTTGCTCAGTGACAGTCACCGTAGACCAGGCTTTGGAGTCTGCAGCCCTACGTATTCGCATTGGTTGCTGTCGGATCGCATGTAATGAATGTCTCGGTAGTTATATCCCTTCCAAACCCTTTGTGCTTCACTGCGGTTGTGCGCGGCAATCAATAAAGCTTTGTTTGTCTATCCGTCGTTGATTGTCGTGCACTCTGGCGCTTCGACTCGGATTTCGTTGGTACGGTCCAGATGTGACAAGCGTCAGGGGTAAACACAGACGATCATTGGGCTTGCGCAAGGGACAGCTCATCAAACGCCCACTTCGGAAAATTAAGCGGAGAGCTAAGTCGAGAGCGGAAAAACGTAAAGATATCTCGAAGTGCGCCGCTGTGTCATTGGCTGTTATAATCGTTCGGACCAGGTACGGTTTCAGATGTTTTTCTTAGCCCAGGGTACAGCTTGGTCTGACCCGGCTCTGTGAGAAACCTCTTGTGAAAGGTAGTCCGAATAGTTGCACAACTACAGTCAGCCTTAGTTTCAGCTCTTGTGCCACAGCATCTGCTTGGCCCTTTCGCTCGTATCGCACATGGCGAGCGATTCACGCGTCCGTGCGACCTTCATCGCTGTCCGAGGGAAGAGTCGAGACTCTAGAAGGCCGTTCGCAGAGTGGAGCCGCCGAAGGATTTCTACTCGGACGGGAGAGGTCATCGTGAAACAGCGAATCGTGGGATATTTGGAGATCCCGTTTCTATCGCGCCGCCCAACAAGGTAGAAGTAGAGGGGAAGCCTGACTGCCGCCCGTTGTCGCAACATCCTTCCGCCGTTGCAGGCGATCGTGTGGATGTGACGATAACTGCCAGAGTCAGTGGCGCTTCATGACACTCGACTTGGCTCCACCTTCAGTGTCACCATCTGCCATCGATCTTCCGCGTGGACGGTCGCCACGTGTTAGCGCACTGGGACAGCGACGAGATCTCGTCTCTTGACGTGGATCCGGTACACCGCATGGTCAGCGACCCTCCAAGGACTGTGCCCGAGCCGCCCACCAGGTAATCAGCCAGCAGCCGAGATCAAAATTCAACATCATCTCTCGACCCAAGCACGCGACACAGCTAGGATGTCGTAAAATTAATGGTAGTGATAATGAGGGGTTGTAGCAAGGTGACCCAGCACTGTTTAATCTTCGACCCGTTGCGGCACCAGATTGTTTCTTTCAACCTCATCTCACTCAAGATGAAGCACCGAAGGCCTGCCGTGCCTCAGGCCTCGCGATTAAGTGAAACGTCGATTTTGGTCTGGACGCGCTCGCTGTTTGTCATGATGTGTCGCCGTGTGCTGGCGGCAAGCAGCCGTCTTGCGTGGCCACCGTGCAATTTCGCGGAGGCGGCTCAGGTTTGTCTTCGTTGAATACTGCCGCAGACCCACAGCATCAACGGCGTTTGGTATACCCGGCCCGTCATCAGGTTTTGAGGTGGCTGTCGCCCCGCTGTCGGCTGTACTCCGAGTGCGGTACGTGGTTTCTTTTCGGCTTTCGACCGCATGCTAGTCGAACTCTTCATCCACACACTTTTTAGCCCAGTCGCAACGCGCCCTCCGTCGCCGCGTCTGATAGGGCCAGCCCTGCAAGGTGTTCTCTCGCGCGTATGCACGATGCTGACGCATGCGCCGTTGATCGTCGAACTCCTTCGTGCCTGAAACGCGGAGGTCGGCAATCTTCCTATCAGCTATCTAATCGATAGCTGGCCGAAGCGGCGCGAGCGTGCTGACGACCTGGACGTCAGCAGAACTCGCTGCTCTAGGTCATCGGGACGTCGTCGTGGCTCCTGTCAACCCGGCTGTTGAAGAAGATCCTTCATCCTGGTGTGCCGGACTAACCGTCAGGTACCATCGCGCCGATTTTCACATGCAGCCCGTAGCCCCGGCGGAGAACTGCCTCAACCGCGAAAATCCTGCAGTAGCGCGAACGAAACACGTGTGAGCCACGAAAACCTCTGCCTGCCTGCCAACTGTCTCGGCCGGTTAGTGTTTTACCAGACACGTCGGCGGTCCGGTGTCTCCCTCGATGGCGGTCACGACGTCATCTGACAGCTCATGCAGCTTGCTGTACTTTTCCACCCAGCTGGCACAAACATCAGGATTTAGCGAGCAAATCCAAAAGCACCTGGGTCAGATAAGGCAGAAGCAAAGTGACATGTCACTTAAACAGGATGAAGTCATGGGAAGACGGGAGATCATTTCTTGCCTCCCGAACTCAAAAACGTAGGCGATGCCTGATCCAGATGGCGGCTTGGCGGCAATCATAAAGAACGTCCACGGAGGCCTTCACACCTTGCTCGGGTGACGAATGAAATTGAACCTGGCACGCCGCCATGTCGAGCGCGAAACGCTGGGCGTTCTCATGTTGAGCGTCGTATGCGGCTTCACATACACGCGTTCACGTATTCCCAGCCTGAGTGTTCACGCAGTCTGCTTCTTCTTCCATGCGGGTGGATTGGGTGCTCGATCGATCAATCGTCATCTTACTTCATGATCCTACACTAAGACGTTCTAGCCTATGCGACTTCATTACTAGCTTTCGGCTTCACCACGTCGCTGTCTGCTTATTAGCCGTTCACCGATTGGTGCGCATCCGCCGTGCCTTGCATTCCCATAGACTATTCCAAGCTCCACCCGCATTTGTCTAGATGACTGCGTCTCTATGAGTATGCTAGATAACAGAAAACGCCACTGATGGTTGTTATTCGTGTGAGTATAGCCACGCTACATTCTGATTGACCCTCGCGAAGGGCGTACCTTGGAGTGGAGTAGCTATTCGCAGCAACAAAGCCTTGGAGATGTAGACCAAGGCACCTATCTTTCAGAATCGGCTAAAGAAAAAGCAACGACCGAAACTGTGTTCCATACGAGCCTAGACAGCTCGTTACATCATATCCAGGGCGCTGAGGTATGCGCCGCCCAATTAGGCAATCCGACCAACCAGAACCCATACCCCCGTCTCCACAGACAGCGCTGAAAACACCTCTGCGGGACGAAAAATCTGCAGTTACCGCCGGATGACTCGGAGACGCTTTGTTCTGCCCTGAATGTCTCAGTGTATGATTGGTGTGCCTGGCAGGCCTGTTGGGCCTTGCGGGCCCATACTTGTTCGGTAACGCATGTAGGTATGATAAAGAGCTGGACTACGCCGTGGGCCCACTTTGAATCCCCATGTGTTTAAAGTCGACGTTCACCCTCTTTTGTTCTTGATCTACACACACTCCTTGTCACATCACAGTCAAGCTTCGACAGCTTTATCACATTCTTTCCAAACTTCCCTCTCTTGTTCAATTGACGGTCTGGACCTCCACTCATTCATCACTCCATCAACAACACACAGTCTCTATAAAGAAACTTCGCCACACTCCCTTGTGTCGCCAACAAAGAACATCTTCAAACAACACCGTTACAGACCCTCTCAATCAACAACATGCTTTCCAAATTCACCTTCGCCATCGCGGCACTCCAGGCTAGCCTTGCCCTTGCTGGCAACGCCATCATCGCCAACCGCTGCAGCTACGACATCTGGGTCTGGTCGATCTCTACCGGATACGGTGTGCCCACAGCGGTCCGCATCCCTTCGCGTACCACGCACAGCGAGCCCTACACTGGTATCAGCACTTCCATGAAGGTCAGCAAGACTGAGAACCTCCTCGCTGGCCACCACACGCAATTTGAATACTCCATCGCCGCCGGTCAGCTCTGGTACGACATCTCTTTCGTGGACTGTGCCGAGGGCGAGTCTGCGTCCAACTGCCCTGGCCACGACGAGGGCCTCGCCATGGATGCCAGCGACGACAGCTGCGGCAAGATCGACTGCGAAGCTGGAACATACTGCCCTTCGCAGATCTACTACGTCGACCAGCCCTTGAAGAAGCTTCAGATCGCCGAGCCCGTCTTCATGTGCCCCAAGACCCTGGGCACCAGCCCCGACCTGTACATGAAGGTCTGCTCTGGTGAGGAACAGATCAAGAGGAGCGTTGCTGGACGCATGCAGATCAACGGCGAGGCTTAGATAGCCCTGGTGCCGCGCACTTTACGATTACTTCTCCAGCTCTTTTTATGATTACTTCTTACGTTCTTTATACATAAACTAGGGATGGGATATGGGATATACCTTGGGTTACGATTTGGTTACGACTTTGGATGATTCAATGAAACACGTTACGCTTCTACAAACTCTTAATTGACACATTTGCTCTGTGTATTGTTTATCGTGATGATTGCGATGGCGGTATATCTTGACGTCGGCTCTGTATCGTTCGTCGTGGTAACGGGCGCTTACTGATACCAGGGCTGTGCCTGTCGCATTCGTGGCGGGGACGCGTCGCACGATACGAGTTGCACATTTGATTTTGGCCGAGTTGTGCCAGGTGGTGCGCTCTGGGGCTGCTGCCAGGGCATGGCCATGGGGATAAGCGAGTCCGTTAGCGCGAAGACCACGTCATGCATTTTCGTGCCCAACTTCATCTCAGCCCCCATTATGGTGATGTTTCATCGAGTGAGTATGGTTGCGGATAAACGTACGATACAGTGTAAGCTTTTGGGGAGGAGTAGGTGGTTCGAGTCTAGATCTTCTGTATGCGCCAACCGGGTGACAGAGCCGCGCGTCAGGGGCGCGGAGGAAGACGAATACCGATGCGCTTCACCAGATACTCTTCAACTCTGTCTTGTCATCGAACTTCGAAACATTACCCGATACTGCGGTACCTGATGCCTGTTACGACTCGACTGAGCTTAGTCGACGACCGCAGATCAGTCTCCAGTTACCCCACATCTGCACCGAACGAACAAATCTACCCCGAACCTTTGTCCTCTAAAACGCCCCTTACCATTCGGGCTAGCAGTAACGCTCAACATGGCTGGTGGCTGCATTCGCTCGACATGCATATGATTAGTAGTATCAGCAGACGGGGCAACTTGCATCCGCGGGCAGATAATCAGTCTCGTTGCGAGCCTACTGAAGCGATGGTGGAGTGGGGAAGCTGTTGCGAGAGGGGTTGCCGCGGCTACATCGACCTGTATTTCTTTCGACGTCTACCATACGATTGTTGATGTACTGGGCTCCTTAAGCAAACCCAAAACCTGGACTAAAGTGACAGCATCGAATTTCCTCCACCTAAACGCAAAATGACGACGAAAGGTCCGATCGCAGCAGCTCAGATAGATGAGGTACCTCTTACCGAGGCAGAGGCTCCCAAGTCTACTGTCGATATCAAGACTGGAGAGATAGCAAACAAAGACGAGCTGCCTTTTGACCCGGCAGCGCTCCAAGCAAAATACCTTCAAGAGCGTGATCGACGTTTAGCACGAGACGAAGGTGTAGAGCAATATATACTCCTCGATGGCAGCTTATCACACTACTTGGACGATCCTTGGGTCGAGCCGGGGTTTCAGCGCGAGCCTATTGAAGAAGAGACGGAGGTGGTAATCATCGGTGGTGGTTACGGTGCTCAGGTCTGCGCCGTGCGGTTGATTGAGGCTGGCATCACAGACTTTAGGATCATCGAGAAGGCTGGGGACTTTGGTGGAACATGGTATGTTTTGTTGAACAGCATGCGATCCATTTACTAACAGCGAGGGAGGTATTGGAATAGGTATCCCGGGGCGCAATGCGACATCGAATCCTACATCTACATGCCCCTGCTAGAAGAAGTCGGATACATGCCTACGGAGAAGTATGCTCGTGCCAAAGAGCTTCTCAGACACTCACGTATGATTGGCGAAAAATACGACCTTTACTCGCGAGCTCTCTTCCAGACCGAAAGTAAAGAGATGCGATGGAACGAAGAAGAAGGAAAATGGACTACGCACACAGCGCGTGGCGACAAGATCAAGTCACGATTCGTGATCCCCGCCGCTGGTCCTCTTCATCGACCCAAGTTTCCCGGCTTGAAAGGCATTGAAGACTTCAAAGGCCATTCATTCCACTCCTCGCGCTGGGACTATGCCTACACGGGCGGCGACCCATCGGGGAACCTGCTCAAACTCAAAGACAAGCGTGTGGGTATCATCGGTACAGGCGCGACAGCCGTTCAGATTGTGCCTCATCTGGGTGAGTGGGCAAAGCAGCTCTACGTCTTCCAACGTACGCCCTCTTCGATCGACGTTCGTGGCAATCGCCCGACGGACGAGGCATGGGCACAATCGCTCCAGAAAGGATGGCAGAAGAAGCGCATGGACAACTTTGACAACATCGTCAACGGCGGCTACGAGAAAGAAGACATGGTATCCGATCGATGGACAGACATCATCCGGTCTCTAATCACCGCCGGCATCGACCCAAACAACCCCGTCGAAGCTGCAGCTAAGCGACAAATCGCAGACTTCAAGAAGATGAACGCTATCCGCGATCGAACCGACGAGATTGTGAAAGACAAAGAAACAGCCGACGCTCTGAAACCATGGTACAACCAATTCTGCAAGCGTCCCTGCTTCCACGATGAATACCTACCGACGTTCAACCGCCCTAACGTCACGCTCGTCGATACGAAAGGCAAAGGTGTTGACCACCTCACCCCCAACGGCGTCGTAGCCAACGGTCAAGAATACGAACTCGACTGCCTCATCTACGCCACTGGTTTCGAGCTCGCAAATGAATGGTCGCACAAAACCGGCATCGAGATCTACGGCCGCGACAACCAGACCATAACCGAGAAGTGGGCTGATGGCGCACAAACGCTACATGCATGGGGCACGCGCAATTTCCCCAACTGCCTCTTCGTCCAGATCGTGCAAGCGGCTCTTACGCCGAATTTCATGCATGTCACTAACGAGCAGGCGATTCACTATGCGTACATCATCTCTGAGTGTAAGAAGCGGGGTATCAGGACTGTAGAGCCGATGCAAGATGCAGAGGAGGCATGGACGAAGACGATTGTTGACGGCACAGCGATCCGAGGTGACTTCTTGAAGGAGTGCACGCCGGGGTACTACAACAACGAGGGTAAAGATAGTGAAAGGGAGAAGAGGAATGCGACGTTCGGATATGGAAGTCCGGCGTTCATCAAGATTCTGAATGACTGGAGGAAGGAGGATGCGATGAAGGGCGTGGATGTTACGTATGCCAAGGAAGATGCGGTCGATGCGCTGGCTAGGAGTCGTATATAAACCGTTATTCGGGGAAGTCTTCCATAGCCATTAATTCTTCTCTCACATACCAAAAATCGAGGCATGTTATTCCCATGAGACTGAGACTTCACGAAAATATCTACATGAACTGGTCCTCCAAATTCATCGTTCATGTACCAAAATCGAGCAAGATCCTCGCATGAACTCCCTTATGGGCACGTCCATATCACAACAGTATGCTTTGGATCTATCGATATTCGAAAAGATCAACATCACGATTATATGTCGTTCGAAAGTCCGGAAGACTCAAATCACGTCTCACAACACGTACGAAAAGCGCAGATTCGACTAGCCATGATGAACATGGCCCGTAAAGCTTCTGTCCATCAGTCCTCAACTTTGCCATTATACTATAAAGCCCATGACATAGCTTTGATGCGCCCAGCGTCTGTCACTTTCACCACTCACGTACATTAGCTTTTTGTTCTAAGAAACATCAGCGAGTTGCTCCACATGGAAAGCACCAGTTTCAAAAATGAAAACAACTCTGGCATGTGTTATCCGCGCTTGACTCAGCTTCCCCATGCAAAAATCTTGGAAAAAAAGACGCAGGACTCAAAAAGACTGCCGACTTGTCGCATGTCGGCGTCTCCCTCTTTCCAAATACAAATACCGCACACTGACGTGTTACGACCAGGTCATCCTTAGGGGAAACTATCTCTTCGAAAACATCTCGATCAGCGAGCATGTCGTGCCGTTCCGGGCTTCTCTCGATATAAAAGCAACCTTTCCACGCACTCTTCCTCTTCACTTCCTCACCATACCACTGGCAGTTTACTCCAAAACGCAAAAACGAGGGAGCTATGGGTGGTGTCCTCCGAAAATCGATTCGCCATTTTGCGATGTGATCGCTCCTGCGCCTTCTTCCACAAAGCTCGAAGAACCCTTTACAAAAATTGTCCAACGCGTCCGATGGACCTTTGCTTCCTTCCAACTTCAGAATATCTTGGATCGCGTCTGCAAAACGCAAGAGCGCCAAGGACATGAACGCTGGACCTAAAATTGAGCATATCCAGGCTCATGTGTGCGAGCGGGCCTCTGCGAAAAAGAGGACGAAAATAGCGCGCTCTTATTTGGATGCTGCTCGCTGCGTCGACTTCAAGCGGCACGACCTTGCTCATATGACCGCCTCGGCACAGCGCAGCGAGAAAGTTGTTATAAGAGCTTCTGCTGTCTTGCCGCTCTCCATCTTTCCCCACATCCACTTCTTCCCACATCATTAAAATAGGAAAGACGACGCACTATGGAGAGTACCTCGCCTCCTCTCTTCCCCAAATATCAAAAACGCACTTCAGCAGCACGCATGGAGAATGTCTCCCTCCTCCTTTCGCCCAATACCTAAATTTCGAAGCAGGCAGATTGATGAAAAGACCTCGCCTTCCCATTCCCCGATATCCAAAAAATCGTACCAGGCTACATATCATGGAGAAGATCTCGTCCCTTCCTCTTTTATAAACACCAAAATGCACATGTCCACAACGCATGGAGAAGAATCTGTCTCTCTTCCTCCAAAAAATCACCTAGCGACTCACTTTATGAGACGCAGTGTCTTAACATTAGGCGGTATGTGCTGGGCAGTCTGCAAGAACGTTCACATTACCATCTTACCAATCCAAGACTAAAAGCTCAAAACGTAAAACTCTCAGAAGCATGTCGCTGCGTGCTTCTTCGCGTCAAAAGACGATGGCATGATTTTCCATGTTCTTGTGCGCCTCGGAAAAACAAAACCTCTAGTCGAGAATCCCATGGCGAGCTGTCCTGCAGAATGAAGTTAGTGTTGCCAGTGAGGCTCGCCAGGCGCATAGTCCCTGTATGATGATGATGCGGTCCATCATCACTCGATGTTGGCATGTGTGAAAAGGAAGGGGACCTGACTGAGTAATA